TTTCTTTCTTTCTTTCTTTTTTTTTTTTCTTTTCCTTTCCTTTTCTTAGCAACCCACATTTCTTTGTACTATCTTTTCATCTTTCAGTTGGCTTCTTTCTTTCTTTTTTCTTTTTCTTTCTTTCTTTTTCTTTCTTTCTTTCTTTTTTCTTTCTTTTCTTTTGTTCTTTCCTTTCTTTAGCATCTTATACTTCTTTCCTTTCTTTCTTCACCTCTTAGCTGGCTTCTTTCTTTTCTCTTTCTTTCTTTTCCTTTCCTTTCCTTATTATTTTTTTTCTGTACTATCTTTTTTTCCTCTTATCCGGATTCTTTCTTTCTTTTTTTCTTTCTTCTATTCTTCTTTTTTTTTCTTTCTTTTCCTTTCCTTTCCTTTTCTTCATCCCCATACTTATCCTTATCTTTTTCATCTTTCTTTGGCTTCTTTCTTTCTTTTTCTTTCTTTCTTTTCTTTCTTTCTTTCTTTCTTTCTTTTCCTTTCCTTTCTTTATTTATTTTCTTATACTTCTCTCCTATCTTTTTCACCTCTGTAGCTGGCTTCTTTCTTTTCTTTCTTTCTTTCTTTCTTTCTTTTCCTTTCCTTTCTTTTCAACCCACATACTTATGTACTATCTTTTTCATCTTTACAGTTATCTTCTTTCTTTCTTTTTTCTTTTTTTCTTTCTTTCTTTCTTTTCTTTCTTTCTTTCTTTATTTTCCTTTCCTTTTTCTTTAGCATCTTTATACTTTTCTATCTTTTTTCACCTCTGTAGCTGGCTTCTTTCTTTCTTTCTTTCTTTTCTTTCTTTTTCCTTTCCTTTCCTTAGCAGCCCATTTTTTCTGTACTATTTTTTTTTTTCTTTTCCAGTTCTTTCTTTCTTTTTTTCAGTTTATTTCTTTTCTTTTTCTTTCTTTTTCCTTTCTTTCTTTTCAACCCTTTTTTTTTCCTTTTTTTTTCTTTCTTTCCTTTCTTTTTTTCTTTCTTTTTTCTTTTTCTTTCCTTTTTTTTTTCTTTCTTCACCTTTCTTTTCATATTTCAGTTTTTCTTTCTTTCTTTTCCTTTTCTTTCTTTTTTTCTTTCTTTCTTTCTTTCTTTTTCCCTTTCCTTTCTTCACACTTCTCTTTCCTTTCTTCTCCTTCACCTCTTTCTTTCTTTCTTTTCTTTTCTTTCTTTCTTTTCCTTTCCTTTCCTTATCGTTCCATATTTTTCTGTACTATCTTTTTTCCTCCTGCCAGATTCTTTCTTTCTTTTTTCTCTTTTATTTCTTTTCTTTTTTCTTTTATTTTCCTTTCCTTTCTTTTAGCATCCCACATACTCCTTATCTTTTCATCTTTCAGTTCTCTTTCTTTCTTTTCTTCTTTTTTTCTTTCTTTTTTTCTTTCTTTCTTTTCCTTTCCTTTCTTTAGCATCCCTTTCCTTCTCTACTATTTCTTTTTCACCTTTGTAGCTTCTTTCTTTCTTTCTTTTTTTCTTTTTTTTCTTTTATTTTCCTTTCTTTCTTTCTTAGCTGCCGTCTTTTTTTCTTTTCTTTCTTTTTTTTCTTTCTTTCTTTCTTTCTTTTTTTTTCTTTCTTTCTTTTTCTTTCTTTTCTTTCACTTTCTTTTTTTTTTCACCTTTCCTTTCCTTTCTTTCTTTCTTTCTTCTTTTTCCTTTCCTTCTTTTCTTTTTTTTATATTTCTTTTCATCTTTACAGTTGATTCTTTTCTTTCTTTTCTTTCTTTTTTCTTTCTTTTTTTTTTTTCTTTCAATTTTCTTTTTTATTTTATTTTTTTTGTCTTTCTTTTCATTTACTTCTCTTTCCTTTTTTTTTTCTTTCTTCTTCTTTTTCTTTCTTTCTTTTCTTTCTTTCTTTCTTTTCTTATTTTTTAAATACTTTATTTTCCTTTCTTTTTCTTTTTAGCCTTTTTTTTTCTTTCTTTCTTTATCTTTCCTTTCCTTTCTTATTTTTTCTTTTTTCTTTTTCTTCTTTTTCTTTCTTTTTCTTTTTTTCTTTCTCTTTTTCTTTCCTTTCCTTTCCTTCTTCTTCCCCATACTTATGTACTATCTTTTTCATCTTTACAGTTTTCTTCTTTCTTTTCTTTTTCTTTCTTTCTTTCCTTTCTTTTCTTTCTTTCTTTCTTTCACCTTTTCCTTTTCCTTTCTTTTTCTTTTTCCTTTCTTCTTCTCTCTATCTTTTTTCACCTTTTTCTTCTGCTTCTTTTTTGCCGGATTTCTTTCTTTTTTTTTCTTTCTTTTTTTTTCTTTCTTTTCTTTTCCTTTCTTTCCTTAAGCAGCCCCATTCTTCTTACTTTCTTTTTCTTCTTTACAGTTTTTCTTTCTTTCTTTTTCTTTCTTTCTTTCTTTTTTTCTTTCTTTTCTTTCTTTCTTTTCTTTTCCTTTCCTTTCTTTTAGCATCTTCTTCTTCTCTACTATCTTTCCTTTCTTTTCTTCTTTCTTTCTTCTTTCTTTCTTTTCTTTC